CAATAAGGCTTTCAGGTAATTCCCCTTTCTCTCCCACTTACTATTCTTTATTCCTTTGATCATCATGTTGTATGGAAGCGAGGCATCAGTTTAAGTGACTGATGTACTGCTATCGTTGATGATTGATGATGCTGATGATGATGATGATGATGATGATGATCTGGTATTTGTACGGGAACAATTGGCGTGGCCAAAGATGTGTGGTGTACTGGCCATAATATTTCATCTTTTTGGAAGCGTTCCAGCTCTAACTTAACTTTCGGACGAGTAGAAAAACGTAAGCCTCCTGATTTGAAAAACTTCGGCTGGGCGTTCCATCTAATGTTGAAAGAATGTTTAAATGCAATTAGTTTACCGGGCAAAGTTTCATCAAACACACAAGCGAACAATATCAACAATGAAAGAACGTCTGGAATATGATCCAAATTTTTGACGGTTTGGAGTAGTTGCGGCATATGCATGATGTAGCTACTAACAATCAAGTTCGTTCCATCTGTGTTAACAACAAAAAAGTGAAGGGTAAGCTTGCCAGCCTCACCACTTTAACTGCCCACGTTCCCGGTACATCGAGCAATTCACCAGCATAATAACCTAAAATAGATTGTGTCGGGACCAGCGGCAGGTCTAGTAGTGTAAGATTGTTAACTAATGTGGCTGAAGACCCCGTATCGATTTCTAGGCGCACAAACTGATCTCTAAATTCCTGTTCCACAGTGACTGTTATTCTGCGCACATGTGACGTAGTAGTATGTGAAATCAAGTGGCATATGGAATCATCGGAATTCTCTACTGTCTGTACAGTATTTGGTGGTGGGTAAGATATATGACATGGAAGCACTGTTGAGCGGAGAGCACACACACGTTTGGTAAGTGGATTGTTTGTGTTTAAAATCAGTTACTCTTTCGTGTCTTTCGTCGCACCAGTAGCACATAAAGGAGCGTTCGTTGTTCGGGGGCAATGGAGGCTTGACCGCGTTGGTTACATCTGAATGGGCGCATGTTGATAGTGAAGTAATTGTTTAACCACATTTTCCATTTGCCTAACTAATGTGCACGCGGTTTCCCCATTAAGCTGGCTTTCGTCTTCTGACCGTAAACGTTTTCAAGCCGTATTACCGCGAATGCCAACCAGAAGAGATTGAATGGCTATGAGCACTTCCAATTTCGTGGACGGAATCTCATTGCAATGACAATCGCGCAGGTACTGTTGTATGCGGGCTATAAAGTCCATGATATCTGCTTCATCTAGCTGCCTTAATTGCGAAAATATTTAATCCTGTGTTGTACTGCTAGCTGATCCGCGTGTGAGACTGTGACTGCCTGCCTGTTCATCCACGCGCCAAACGAACCGAAAGTAACGAAAAATCCAAGTCTCGATAGACGGGGTATATTATACAGAATAGGTGGTCTCTATTTATTGATGAACCATACTAATTTTTGAGTAGTAATCACTTGATCTCCTGCGTCTGGTCCCCAGCCACTGTGAGTGAGTTTCGTTCCACTGCTTTGCCATATTTGCCAAAATCCTTCGCCTCCGTGTTCGACTCCGCTGAAAGCGTGGACGTTGGTTCGAATTCGCTGACCAATCAATTCACGTCTGATTCCCAAATTGGGCAGCACAGGTGAACGCGGTTTCTCGCCCGTACGCGTGGACTTCCCTCGCAGCTGACCGATCATGTGCTCTCCAGCAAGTTAGCAGCACTCTCTCTGTGGTGTCTCCGCTGACGACTTCCCCCAGGACCGCAAGAAGAATTCTAAAGACTAGCCAGAAAGAGACTTGTATACATGAAATCACAGTTGCTTATATAAATTTGAAGGCAAAATGTAGAGAACCTACTAAATTACACTTGAGCCAACCAACAGAAGGAAAATCGTCAAATGCAACGGGCGGTTATGCAACCTTGTACTCAAGAGCGAATCACATATGTCCTTAAAAATCGCCTCATGGGACTCCAAGCATAAAGCGAACATCCATTTACAGTGACGGGCACTGGCCAATCAGAATAACAAAATGTAGCGCTTAAACAAGTGTCACGAAACAAAGGAGGCTAAGAAATGCAGACCCAAAAATTAAAAAAATTAGTACAATAATCGTGTGGCAAATAAAGATTCATTTAACATAACCAAGTAGAACAGTGATGAGGAGAAAAACCAATGGAATGTGTTCTTGCAAATGACGCTGCTGAATAGGACATGACGATGAGCGTCCATTAACAATGACGTGTGTGGACCAATCGGGCTAACCCAGTAGAGAGTTTAAACAACCGTCAAGAAGTAGAAAATAGAAAGAATAAAGAATGGCTATTAAGCATGTTCACAAGAAATAAATGTCTAATAGCTATTCTCCTAGCAATACCCCCGCGCAGGGTTGCCGTCTTGTGTGTGCACATTTACTTCGCTGGGGTCTCTATTATAGTGCCGGAAACACATGTCGTTGAAAGCCCCAATGTGACAATAAGGTCTTTTCATACAACCGTCCCACATCCAAATGTCGCTTGCCCTCTGCATACAAGTGTTTTCTCAACAGTTTAACCGATTGAGGCTCAGTAATGGTGATGTGGGGATTGGTAACTCTAAGAAGCTCAAGTTAGTCACAGGTTGTTCTCTTATCACCGAATGAAAATTGCAATGGATGGCTTGGAAACTGACAGTTTCCAAAACGGATCCGGTGAAATACATTGACACGTAACGAATAATCCCAGACATAGGTTTAGTCGACAAGGTTAACTTTTAGGCGTGAGAAAGTACCGTTAGTCTGCGAAGCAGTAATGGCACGTAGCCGTTCGACGCAAGTACAACAGAACACAAACAGCTTGTAGCAAACAAACGTGTACTCTGACCACAACGTGTGCAGATCATTAATCAAGTAGTCGCAGATTGTATCTCATCACCGAATTTCAATGGGAAGAAATGGCCTGGAATCCAAGAATTTCAAAAGCGGGTAGTGGGAAGTAAGTCGTTGCAAAATATAAAAACGTATTTTGCTTCCACTACACATTTTCTGTGTCCTTCTGGGATAATACTTTTCGGTTGTCGTGGGCTCCAATGGGACCTCACGATAGATGTGTACTCTACCGGACCCGTGTTTTAGCGCACTTGCAGAGAATAAAAGGTATTTCTACATCCATGGCGGATTGTAGTGTTGATCTAATAAACCCGGCTTCGTCAAAATGTGCAGAGTTCGGGTGAGGAATAACTCTCCCTAGGTTGGTGGATTTGGTTTTTACTCTCAACAACATGCACAGTCAGTTCTGCTGAACTTGGTTATCAGAAAACTTATCGCACAATGGAATAGCGGTAGATTCGGGGATATTTGCGAGCACAACAGTCAGGGCGTTATTATTGGAGCCCTTTTTCGTTGAGCTATAAGCTCGACTGATCGTTAATCCTGGCTTTATGCCAAATGATGATTGTCCACTGTTTGTCTCTCTAATCGCGTTGGCGGTGTTTGCAACAGAGGAGACACTAAAGGTAACAGCCCGAGGAATTTGTGCAGCGATCTCTGCAAACGTGAATGAAGTCAAGAGTGATTAGCACACGACCAGAGACCGTCGCTTTACATGTGCAGTTTACTCAGGTTCGGCTGTTCAATCCTTGCTAACGGTAGAAATTATTAAGACCGGCTGAATGTGACCGATTATGCGATTCGGGTCGCACCACGGTCATTGTTCTTTTGGCGTTCATCCAAGATTTAAAGGGATAAGGGCAATGGAGACCTTTTCTATCTTGTTTTGGGCGCAGAAAAGGCTACGCTATTGCTTCTATCGGAAACCACGGTATTGTCCTGGCGTAATATTGCTTCCAATCATATAATCTTAGCGTACATTTGCTGTTCAACTACTTTGCTGATCGGTCGCGCTTTTGGACTAGGAGAAGCATACGTTTGACTAATGAGATGGCAAAACAAGCAGTAGAAAATCAGAAGTCGTCTAGTGAGCTGTCTCGAATGCTCAGGTGTTGCTGAGATAGCTTTGCACACGTTGAATGTTTCCATTTGAAACAGTGGGAGCAGAGTAGAACAAATTTGATTAGTAGGTTACCTTCTGGGGACCCGCGTCTACAGTTCGACAGGAGCCCTTCTAGATTGGCACCACCTTGCTTTCCGCTACTTGGCCTTGTGTCGCTTTATTACACAGTAAGCTAGTTGACATTGTGCACCTTAATAACTTTTCGGTTGGCCCTTCTCCAGTCAGACGAGCGATGTGCTTCAAAGGTCAAGTCAAGACTTTCGGACCTTGTTTTGCGCTTGTTGGTGTGATGGGTGTGATGGTTGACAAGGTGACAAAGAGTGGCGATAGGCTTTGTGTCATCACTAACTCCAACAGAATGCTGAGCGAACAGCAACGTAGTAGGAAACGCGAACTATTTGCAGCTAGTTGTATAAAGGAAGCATGAGTTTGTGCTGACTTGGTGGGATGGAAATCCTCTTTCGAATGAGTGTAATTTATCAACGATATGCTATAATCTTGTTTTGCATTGTTGAGATTCATGAGAAAATCTTTCGTAAGGATAGACTTTACTCCAAAGTTGAAACAATACGAAACCCCGGATGCAAAGCAGGAAACCTTTAAGGATGTGATTTCGGAATCATGTGAATGTAAACTATGTTTGCCTGCCAATCATAATGATTTTGCAGCTCTTTGTCCGTTGCAAGGAATGAAATCGTTGGCTACTAAAGAGCCTACGTCTGGTGTGCGGTTTTCACACAAGAATTTACGTATGAAACCGAAACCCTACTAACTGGTCGTTGGAAACTGGCGTCCTCGTGTATTCTAAATTTCCAGACCAACTGAGGATTTGGGGCGATTGTGTTATGCTCCAGTACCAGTACACTGTCATTTCATTCACAATGTTCAACAACGGTACAAACAATGCAGCAGTAAGATTGCGAGCGTGCTGATGTCATTTAATAACGCACAGTTTTGAAGTGATTGCTTGTGTGCAGATTAGAAAATGTCGAACTATGAACTTAAAATATGCAACTTGATTAAATGTTTCAGCGCAATCACAGGAAGCAAAAAATCTGGTACAAGTGGAGCTGCAACCCGAAGTTATGCCTAAGGCACCCGAGGGATCCGTAGACAAGACAGAAACTGAGACGCAACCGTCAACACCGCCTGAAGCGAAGCCGGATGTTGAACCAAAGTTACCACAGGAACCGATGCAAGTACCCGAAAATGAAGGTATTGCCGCACCCAAGCAACTGGTTACAATCGGTAGGTTGATTCCTTTCCATGCGACTTCATGCCGTTCAGGTATCGCTCACAACGTTATTGCTTCGCTAAACTGAGGAGTGGCGCCATATCTGTTAGTCATCTCACAGGACTTTAGTCCCAGAAACACCTGAAATACGTGAGAAACTATGCATGGCTGAGTTCAATGAGTATACATGGTGTAACGCGGAAAATTGTGGTCACCATTGTCATTCGTCATCATCAGTAAATGGAATGTCAATGCATTTGCAGGGATTAAACACGAAGACACGTCATGAGTTGACGACACAGCCTTGAGCTTGTGACTCAGAGTTTGTGCCTGATACATTGTGTGTGTTAAACCGATCTGATGCACTGCTCTATTCTGGAAGCAGAATGATGATTATGATGAGGAGAACGAGGTTGTAGTTGATGATGTTGTTGATTCGAGGACGTCAGACCCTATTGTCTGTGGTAACTTGCCCTTGTGTGTAGCTTCACTCACTCCCTCACTTACTGGAATGTTCGGTCGGTTGGTCAATCACTTTTAAACCGTCGCGCTCCCATCGTCCGCTTACAAGATGGCAAACGGGCTGTGGTATCATTTAGTGCAGTGTGGGTGCTGTAGTTTACGGACAACAGGCAGGTGAGGTGGGAACCTTTTAGGTACAGCCCATGCTTGATGTCGAACGAGGAGGTGCAGATATATCATGGAACCGGTTAAGCAAACGTTCCTGCTTTGCAGCGGCTATAAATGCGGGACCGGGAAACTAATGAAATTCGAAAGTTTAATGCAAGTGTTTTGTCAAGCATTAATCTGGACGTCTGTTTGTGTCATTAATCATATGTAGGCGCAACATGCCAAATTTCCAAGCTATAGGCTGCAGATTCCGGGTTGTTGACGATCAACTGGCTTTGGCGTGCGTTTCAAACACCTTATGTCACGTGGTTCCGCATCCGTTTGTGGTTCCTTACTTCGTGAGCCAGATTCCTCATTCGCTTTTGAGTCGATTGTTAATCCAGATCATGCGGTTCGCTTGAGCGTGGCCGGGCGCGATTAATGTGACGGCACACCACATGGCCGTCCTCCAGCTGTAGCCTAGCTTGGTTACTCGTTGAGGACATAAGTGAAGCAGGTTGCCAGCTTGCTTCGGGACGCAGACTTGTATACATAAAATCAAAATCATTGAGACACCATTCCTCTGGCATCTAGTCTGTCCCACACAACTTTTCATGCTTTGCGTCGGTGTTCCTTTGATAGTTCGGAAAATGGACGTGCAGTCATGTTCGTAGGGGCCGGGCAAACATGAACTCCGCGAGTGACTTCCCTGTTGTCTCAGTCGGTGTCGTGCGATTAGAGATCAGGAGACGATCCAACTGCAGAGTTCTATGATTCTGCTTGAGGAGAAATTGCCTAACAGCCTGGACTGCACGTTCTGGTCTCCCATCCGATAGTGGTTGCTACGGCGCAGGCTTGATGTGCTGCATTCCGTCATTGCTCGAGAATAGTTGCAACTACCCGCTGGTAAAGCGTGTTCCGTTATCGGATCATACCGTTGATGGGAAATAAACCATGGCAACAATGGAACGCAATTTTGCAATTGTTGCTGCGGTAGCCGCACATAGAACTGGAAGTACTTATATTACTTTAGAATTGTCATCAATCAAAATAGACACATCATTTCATTGAACAGGCCAAGGTAGTCCGAGTGTACTCGCTGCCAAAGCCTCTCCGAACAACGTAGTGGATGAATCGGTCTTGGAGGCTTTTATCTTTAGCATTTCTGACAGTTTCCGACCTTTTTTGCAGTCGTTCTGTATCCTGGTCAGTATTTAAGCACCGACAGTACACACGTGCCCGCGTCTTCATCCTGTTCACTTCAGGATGTGTCATTCAACTCTCTCCGCAACTTGGATGATGGTTCGTCCGGTGGAACTATGAACGCGCCTCGAAATATACAGCAGTGAAGACGTTTAACTCTTTACTCTGGCAGACAAATGATTTCAGTTAATCCGACTTGGTTGTAGGCCAACCCGTTATTAAGGACCGATTCATCATCGACCGCATATGATCACAGTCCGTCAGGTTCCGCGGCACCTCACTCCGGATGTCTGTCCTTTCAGGGGTTGCATCAGATTGACAAAATCCATGGGATCACTGTTCGTTTTCTTGTCATGCTGTTGCAAAAGGCGACTTGGGGCGTTGGCGTTTACATACCGTCGTTTTTATCTATAAGCTTACTTTAGCATTTGAGGCGGAGACATCTGTTGGATTCCCTTCCCTTCATCCAGCAGCGAAAGAGGTGATTTATGGTCAGTGTGGACATCGAACTGTCTTCCCCAAACCTCCTGGTGAAAATGCTTAACTCCAAAAATAATCCCTAAAGCTTCTCTGTCCAGTTTGGAGTAATTCCTTTCAACAGAGTGCGAGCAGCAAAAGCGATTGAACGAAGGGACCCGTCATCTGTCCTGTGGCAAAGGACTTCGCCTATTCCGCGCGGGGAAGCAAAACACTGCAATAATGGAGGCCGGCTCAAAACGAAATGAACGCGACACATGAAGGCCTAGCGTGCTGTTATTGCATCTATGGCAGCCTATCATTGCTCGGAGCCTAAATACAGGACATCCTCTTGCACAACGTTTTGTGCAAAAGTGAAAATACTGTTGCGGATTTAAGTAAGATGCGACGAGCTTGAGTATGCATCACTGAGCTCATTGTAATTCAACCGCGTACTTGGGTTCAGGTGCGACAAGAATGGGCTTGCCTTTGCATTCTTCCACCTGTTATCCATTTTTATCAAGGCCGTAACCTAGGTAACGACGGGAATCCGAGAAAAATGTACCCTTGGACCTCATCAGTTTGGACCCACTGACTTCCGAACGTTCGACACAATGGATAGCATTTGTAAATGCTCAGCACCTGCAAGTCTTTTAATGAGGATGTTGACAAGATAGGTGCAATTGAGAGGAATATCTTTCTCAAGGTGTCAATGATTCTTTGGAATATCGCCGGGGCTGTACTACTTCCGAGCGGCAGACTTTTGTACGGGAATAGACCCATGTGGGTACTTACCGTAGTGCATGGGCAAGAGGTCACATTTAACTCACTTTGTGAGTACGCGTGACTGAATTTGTACTGCGTGAACGTTTCTCCGCCTGCTAGCATAGCATACAGATCCTCTATCCGAAGTAAGGGATACTAATCTGGAGTTAAACTACCATTAACGCTTAGTTTATAGTCATTGGAAAAATGTACTAAACCATGCAACCTCAGGACTGGAAATACTGGAGCTCTGCACTTACAGCATTGGACTGGCTCCATTGTTCCTGCTGGTTGTAAGCTCTTTATCGACTTCTAAGTTTTAGTTCAAGGTATGAACTAAGGTAAGTGCCCTGAAGAGGTAGTTCTGAGTTTCAGGCATTGGTTTGATAACAGCCTGATGACCGTTCCGTATTCCAAGTTTATTATCGAAAAGTTCAGAATAGTTGTTTAGCACCACCTCCAAGCACTGGACACGACACGAAATGCACCGTCCTTAGCGTTGCCGGAGGCCTTTAATCCAGTATCGCCCGAATATTTTTGCAAAATCACTCACCACAACGTATACCTGTAATGTCCGTTTCTCCCCATTATAATTAGCGAGAACAATGCACATTTCCCAGCCTGGTATCGGTTGTTCGATGAAGGTCGGCGAAGTTGTTTCACATGAGGTAACTTGGCTAAGCTTTTATCAGCTACAGGCCTGAAGACGGCAACTGAGGCAACCGTATCTACTTCCATTTTAATCAACTGACTTTATATTTTGATTTGCACAGAGTAAGGGGACGAATGCTACATCTGCTCGCTGTTGCGTTCCATACCGAGTCTAGATGGTCATACTAGTCTGAAGGCTGGTCGATCTTCACAGTTTTTTGGAAATTATGATGTCTCTGCTGTGCCAGCTTTAGATCGACAAAACATCTGGCCCAGTGTCCTAATTTCCCAAACTGACGGCCGACACTCCTTACAGAGACATCCGTCGACCGACAAATACTAATTTCCATATCGGTGACATATAAAACGCGATTCGGACCGTTTTGGCATTACACATCTTCGACTGATTGCATACAATGTGTCTGCAGGAGGTTGTTAAGAGAAGCTGCTAACTGTTTCTGAACATTCTCCAGCTGCCGAACAATATTACAGACCCTCCAATTCCGTAAAGCCTCACCTTCCGGCAACATCCTTTTATGAGCAAGTTCCTTACGGATACGTGAGGTCAGACACTGTAGAGCCAGCCTTTGTTTGAAATTCATGGCTGGAATTTCAATATTTCGAAACGCTAGTATGGTTTGGTGAATGCTTTCAATGAAATCAATACGAATCTTCAGAGTAGACGCAATATGAAGAAGAACTAATGCGCAGTGTATGTGTTCAGTCGTGAACCACAAAACCTGCTGAAGAATTCTAATGCAGGGTTAAGTGTCGCATCCTCATCTTTGATCATCAAAAGCTAGAAACTGTTGCAATAATTTAAATTTGTGGCTCTCTGAGAGCTCCATATTTTGTAGCAAAACGAGTAACAACTCCAGTTAACCAGCTACTGTGAATTTCTAGCAATTGCGAGTAGACAGTGTTAGTTTCCCAGAAAGAATACTCCAAAGTGTGTGGTAGGTAGGTGCAACATCGCGGTAAATTAGCTCGTTCGCCAGAATGTTAACAATGTCGCGTATCCCGGTAGACGATACAGAACGCGTCCGTGGTCTGTGGAACTGTTTATTGAAAGCTACCCACGTAACAGTGGCTAGACCGACCGAAAAGGATAACCAATGAAATAAAGATATAGCAAATAGTTTTACAGACAATCATGCATGCGCCCGAATCCACGGTCAATATTCAAGTGCCAACTTGACAGAAAACTAGGAAGGAAGGCTAAGTTAGTGACTATCTGATACATAGTTTGGACAGAAGATTGAGCAGATAATAATAATACTAATAATCATGCAAATAATGTAGTACCGAGAAACCGAGCCCACAAAGGGAC